GGCTCAGATCGGGAAGACTATAGTGGTCTACGTAGACGATATGTTGGTAAAGAGTATGACTACAGCGGACCATGTGACACACCTCCAAGAAATCTTTGATGTACTGAGAGCCTACAAGATGAAGCTAAATCCTAAAAAGTATACCTTTGGTGTTAGTTCGGATAAACTCTTAGGCTTCATGATCAATAAAAGGGGTATTGAAGTCAACCTAGACAAGATCAGAGTCATCCTGGAGATGAAGTCCCCAGCCTCAACAAAGGAGGTCCAACACCTTAATGGAAGGATAGCAGTCCTTAACAAGTTTGTCTCTAAATCAACAGATAAATGTCTACCTTTCTTTAAAACCTTCACAAGTCTTTCTAGTGGGGACCAGATGCAAATGAGGCTTTCTAGAAGCTCAAGACCTACCTCGTCACACCACCTTTACTCTCTCATGCTACACTAGGAGAGACCCTATATCTCTACCTCTCCTCGTTGCCCTCTGTTGTGAGCTCTGTCCTCATCAAGGAGGATAGAGGCATCCAGAAGCCTATATACTACTTGAGCAGGGCATATCAAGGGACAAAGATAAGGTACTCAGAGCTGAAAAAATTGGCTCTTGCACTTATCACTGTCGCCAGGCGTTTACGCCACTACTTTCAAAGCCACACCATCATGGTTGTTACAGATCAAGCACTCAAAAGAATTCTGGGAAAGCCTGATGTGTTCGGTCAACTACTCAAATGGGTCGTCGAGTTAAGAGAGTTCGATGTGCAGTACCAGCAGAGGGCCACCATCAAAGCACAAGCACTTGTGGACTTCGTGGCCAAGTTTACACTGCCACAGAAGTCCGAGGAGGAAGTGTCAGGCGCTCATACGCCCACCTACTCAATACACACTGCCTCTACCCACCATGAGGCTAGCTCAAACATTATCTCGATAGGATTCGACACCCCGAAGACGGATCCATAGCCTAGGCTGCCCAGGGCGCCGCCCTCTCTTCCTGTGGCATCGCCTCCCATTTTTCTCTCTCCCTAGGCGCCACCTAGCACCCCACTATCTCTTGCCTCTTCGACGCCATCGTAGTTCCCCTCGTCATAGACAGCGTTGCCCGTAGAGCTAGCGCCTCGCCACAGTCTACTATACCAAGTTAGACATTCTACGTGGATGGGTCCTCCACTAGCGAGGGTGACGGCGCAGGATTAGTGATGATCAGCCCCCATGGAACTCCGCTAAAGTACGTCGTCTTTCTCCAATTTTTCATATCAAACAATCAAGTTGAATATAAGACCCTCATATTAGGCTTAAAGCTTGTGTTGGAGATGGAGGCCCTCTACCTCATAGCCTATAGTGACTCTCATCTCATAGTCAACCAAATAAAGGGAGACTTTGAAGCAAATGAGGAAAAAATACACGAATACCTCTCAGTGGTCCAAGACCTGCTAAAAAAGTTTACCTACTTCCAAATCCACTATGTGCCTCGAGAGGAGAATGACATGACAGACGCCCTCACCAAATTTGCATCTATCAACATACTCACATGTTGGCACTGACAGGCCACTAGTTTAAACCAAGCACCTTCAAGACAAAGGAGGACGATGTTAATTGTACATCCTCGGCAGCCAACTAGATGACTCCTATCTGAGTCTACCTAGAGGAGGGCACTCTCCCAGAAAACCTAGTAGAGGCCAAAAGTTGAGAATGAGAGCGTCTAGGTATATCATCCTGTAAAATGCCCTCTACAAAAAAAGTTCTTTCATACCATTACTCCGTTGTCTCACCTCTGAGGAAGCCGATTACACAATGAGGAAAATCCACAAGGGAATATGTGAAAATCACTCAAGAGGGCGTGCACTGGCTCACAAAGCAGTTAGGCAAGGATATTATTGGCCTACCATGATCAAAGACACATGCGAGTTTGTCAGGAGATGTGACAAGTGCCAACGCTTCGTGACTATGCCCAGACAGTCACCCGAAGAGCTCACCACCATTCAGAGCCCATAACCCTTCTCTATGCGAGGGATCGACATCTTAGGGCCCCTCGTGTGTGTCAGGGTCAGTGCAAATTCGTGGTAATAGCCATAGATTACTTTACTAAGTGGGCAGAAGCCAAAACCTTAGCCAGAATAATAGACCAAAAGATAAAAGACTTTATATGGAATAGTCTAGTCTGCCGTTTCGAAATACCTTATGTCATTGTAAGTGACAACGCCAAACAGTTTGACAACAAACTCTTTAATAGCTTCTGTACCGACCTACAGATCAAGTAGCCCGAATCCAGCCCCAACCATCCACAGGCAAACGGGAAAGCAGAGATCACCATCAAGATCATCCTCTGTAATTTGAAAACCAGACTAGAGAGTATAGAAGGACGATAGGTAGACAAAATCTTAGGAGTACTGTGGGTCTATCGAATGACACCAAGGAGCCCCACGAGCGAGACCCCTTTTTCCCTAGCTTATGGGACAGAGGCAATTATACTTGTTGAGATTGGGGTACACTCTCTTAGGGTCCAGCACCATGACCCTACTAGTAATGAAGAAGGTCTGCACATCAACCTCGACTTGATAGAAGAGGAGAGGGAGATAGTCATGCTCAGGAATGTAGAGTACAAGTGTCAAATGACCAAATACTACAACTCGAGGATGAAGTCTCACTTCTTCTTGCCCGAAGACCTAGTCCTCAAAAAGGTCATACTATCTACTAAAGACTCATGAGAAGGAAAATTGGGACCCAACTAGGATGGATCCTACACGGTCACGAAAGGTGTAAGACAGGGCACCTACGGAATCTAGAATTTTGGAGGAAAAGTCCTGGCCCACCCATGGAACGTAGAGCATCTGAAGAAATATTACCAGTAGTTGGGGGCAAGGTCCCAGTAGTTGGGGCAAGGTAGTGAGTTTATAAGTCGGTGGTCACTATTTAGATTATCTACTTATGTTTTCATCAATTTCCTTTAAATATCTACTTTAAATTATAAAATAAAATTTCGCAATATTTTTTCAAAAAGTTGTATTTCAAAGAAGTTCATGGAGTTTTTACTAAAAGATAGAACATGACCCATCAACAAAAACATAAATACAAAGGTATCATGCTCCTAACGACACTTACTGCCTCTGTTCCCATCATGGCTCACGTCCTCGTCAGTAGTCCCTAGAGCCTCATAAGGGATGAAGCCAAAAAGTCATAAGCGGAAAAAGCTGTTGAGACCTTTCCCCTGAGCTCCTCATAGCCATTAATAAAAGAGTCTACCACGGCCCTCTCAGTAACATCCCTCTTCTTCTTCATCTTTATGGAGTGAACCTCTGCCTTGGTAGCTCTCTCAAGAGTTGCTCGAAGATTAGCCTCTAACACAACGGCCCTCTCACGGGATGCTCGCAGTTCTATCACTGCAACCTCTATGTCAACCTCTAGTTGGGCGCCCCTCTCGCGAGACGCCCGAAGCTCGGCCTCAGGTGTGGCAACTCTCTCGTGTGATAGCCTCGACTGCTCTTCGGCATCCTCTAGCGCCAGCTGCTCGAGCCCCAACTGCTCTTCAGCAGCCTTGCATGTCTGCCTCTCCGCTGCCTGACCATCAAGCACCTCCTTGATCTTCAACGTACTCGAAAACAAACAGGGGGACAATAGCAGCCACGTGCAGGCATTCAAAAGCAGAATATGAAGGAGATAAGTCAGGTATGAAACCAAAGAAGAATGAAGGTCATACCAAAGCAAAGTCCTCCATGACAGTGTCAACGATGCCCTCCGGACCTTGAGAAGCGACCTCCTCAACCTCAGCACGAGTCACAAATCCCAAAGCCACTCCTTGGCCAGTTTAACATCGTACAACATGGATACTAAGGTACTGCTCGAAACAGGATGGCTAGGCGGAGCCTTCGTCCTAGTGGAAGACCGCACTGGGGCCTCAGCCCCTACAACAATATTGGGACTATCTGTATGAGGTGAAGGAACAACAATCGGAGAAGAATGGGGGGCATCACCAAGTTCCACCTCTTGAAGACTAGTCTAATGGGTAAACCTCGGCTGAGAAGTACCAGGGGTATCTGACTTCGCCCTCTTAGAAGAAGGAAGAGAAGGCGCCGCCTTGGAAGCATAGACAACCTCCACCACCGCTCTGTCGATAGGGGTATCTACAGAATCAATGTAAATAGAAAGCCTACAAAGTCGTAACCATGAAGAGTTTTTGGAAAAAATTAAATACCTTTCCTCATCGAGCAATGAAATTAAATACAAATATATGACAACTAGAAATGAAATCAAAAGCAGAGTCCTTACCTAGCTCGGTCTTGGGGACAATATCCATCTTGAGGGTACCAGGTCACAATCATTCTCGGTGGCCCACTCGCCTCCAACAAAGAAGAATTTGGTCTTCCAACTATGATAATTCGAATAAAGCCCAGTGATGAACTTATCCGACCTCAGGGAAAAATGGTACCACCACTGATAAGGGACGAGATTCTCCAGGAGCGCATATGTGGTTAAGAACTCCTCAAATAGGGGAGGGACGTCAGCACTATGGACTAGCCACCACAATGAAAAGAATGTCAGCATCACCCTCCATTCGTTGGGAGCCAGCGACAGGTGCCCTAAAACCCAACATATGGGCCCAAGTATCAAGAACCTTAATCCCGCCTCCAAGATGTCCTCATGAAGGACTATCTTGCCAAAAGAGTGACAACATGCTGACTTGTCCCCCTCCGCGCGACGACACATCACAGTAGGAGGAATGCAATAGGAAGATACTATACCAGTCATGTCCCCGTCACAGTCAATGAAGCTAAATATGGAAGCCACCTTTGAGCCATTATCTCCAGCACTCTCCATGCCTCGCTCGGTGTCCTTTGTAGTCTCCCGCTAGTCAGAATGGGCGCTTGCCAAAACAATGTCAAACCAGTATTAAGAAAATACTCATGCCAACAAAGGAGTAAATATGAGCACCAGATAACATACCTCGAGAGCTCAGTTTATTCGAATCGCTGCCTGATTGTCTCCTTGCGCTACCCAAAGGCCCAAAGGTGCCACTAGGCTTGCCCACTTGCTTCCTGGAGTTGTCCAAAGTACCTGAACCTCCACAAACATTGTCCAGTGCATTCAAGTCACCACCACCGCCTGGGATGCTCGCCTCGACGCCTTGGGCGCTGCCTACCTGAGTGCCTGGGTCACCCCCTGCCATGCTGGCGCCACCCACTAGGTCTCCTCCACTACTGGCGCCGCCCACTAAGTCTCTCCCTGCACCTGATGCTACATCGAGATCCTCTGCGAAGATGAGGCCGCCTAGCACTGTGTTGGCGTCGCACATGGGCTCCCCTATCTATCCCTCTCACCTTTTCTCTATAATGCAGGCATCGCCTATGGAGCTGGGCTCCCTCCTCTCGCCATCTCGCCCTCTTTCCCTCCTGCTGCAGGCATCACCCAGCAGCTGGCCGACTTCCCCAAGGGCCCTGCCTCGGTTTGGTTCCTTTCCATTCATACTTGGATTGAGGACGACGACCTCGCCGCTGATGCTTGGTTCACCCGCACCAAGTGAGGCGTCATCTCTTCCTTCCCCACCATCAACGCCGCCCGCTGCCTTGGCACCATGAGCCCCTTCCTCTTTGTTCCTCACTCTCAATGATCTCTTCATGGTTATCTCCAAGCTTGCCCAATTTCTTATGGAATGAGAAAGGGAGAAAATTGGGTTTGGGGAAGAATAGCTCAAGCCTCCAAAGAAAAATATAAGAGGAAATGAAGTGGGGAAGTCTAAAGACCCTTACATATAGGCAAGATTCTTTCAAGACCTAACAGAAGGAATGCAAAAAAATGCAAAAAACACCAGTGTCAGTAGATTTAACAAATTCCTTGAAGATGAATAGGCTCCGTGGGGAGCAAGAGAACCTCTGTTCATTCAAGTGAAGAAGAAGCTCATGCCCTCAACCCCCTTCTCTCGCAAACAGTCGAAGGCTTGAGGCATGGGGGAGCAAATGATAAGCCCAAATCCAACTGGACTAAGCCCAATTAATCAAGCAATCCCAAGTTAGCCAAAAGGTAGCCTAAGTCCACTTTATCAATCTGAACCAGTCCAAGATCCAAGGAGCCTGGGAAGATAAGAACACGTGAGAGAGATTAATCCTACCTTAATTGTACTTACATTTGTGTAACTATTCTCCTCGAGGAAGTAATGCCCTCACACTCACGTCACCGCTTTACCTCACCGCCTCACCATACCTATATATTATAAGCTCTCTCTACATGGAAAAACACATTTCTACATCTTGGCATCTCACTATACATTGAGTTTTGTCTCTCTACACCTCCCTACACACATAGCTTATCTCTTAACTATTGTAACTCTCCCGAAGCTTACTTCTCCAGAGCTCTCTCCTTATTACTTTATTCATCAATAAAGGCTCCCTACCACCGCTGTTGATTTTCAAGAGTGGAGTAGGACACCCGGACCAAAACCACTATATATTTGTGTGTTAATTTCATATTTAATATTTTGTAATTAGTTACCTTATTTATTGTCCATTAATTACACCTCTTCATATACTCGACTGTTGATTTTGCACGAGACCAATTTGTAAATCATCATTTAGTATGGATGTCAATTGAATTCATGACAACTGATTAAGTGTTGAGAAAGAATTGTGTGATAATTTTTGACATAACATGAAAACACGATTTGAAATTTATACGAAATTAGCGAATTATGATTAACCATTTCTCAATATGAACCCGTATATGACATGACCCATTAATACGAATAATTAATGGGTTGAGTTAATGTCAAATGCGAATGAAACAAAATTGACACAATTAATTCATTCAAGTAGAATTTATAAGAATAAAATTCAAGTTTTAATTAATAATTAAATGAGTAAAAATATTTTTTATTAATTTAATTTTTAGTTTATAGAAAAAAAAAATATAAGTATAATGCCTTTATCACATGTAACAATTATGTGGGGATTAATTCATCCGCTCCTTTGTTGAGATACCTCTTGCTCCATAGAAGGTGCCAAGAATGCCATAATAAGGAGTGACGGACGAAAAACAAACGGTTTAACAACGCATCTATCCATGATAATTTCGCTTGTCGATATCTGTTATTAGTTTGAGTTGTGAGAATCAGAGCATCTTTTGCTTCGATTAACATGAATGCTTACAGCAATGGGAGATGCTTAATGAAAAAGCTCATTAATATGGGTTATTCAATGGTGAAGTTTTAGGATTCATCTATAATCTCCTGTTGAGATGCAATGTCATGCGATCTGAGCTCTTCTTTTTCAAAAAAGCAAGTTCTACATGCCTCTGTTTTTAAAGTAGTAGATAGATTTTTCCATTTCAATGACAAGGGAAGAGTCTGCAAGACTGCAACATCGACCGAGAGGGGTGGGGTCCCTCGTTTCTTCGATTTCCATAGCAATCATCTTCCATCCCTACATGTTTCTCTTCCTCTCTCTCGATCTTTCTCTCTTTTTCTTTTGTCTGACAACATCTCAAGACTTAAATTTGTTCATTCTTGTTTCAAACACCCGTTATCTACTTCTTGTAGCAAATAATGATTTATTGTTTCAAACGTCTCAAGACTTGTTACTGCTAAAATGAAATCTGAATATTCATACCTGAAAATTCTAATATATTAGAGAACCCAAAGCACATAAACGTGACAAAAACCATGCGATATCTACATATCTAATTGCATTAATGTATGTCTAGTGAATGGTAACTAGTGTTCAATCATGTCAACTTGCACAGCACAAATCAAAAAAAAGGGCTTCCAACTACGGTGTGTCAGCTTTGGAATCCATGAGCGGTTCCAGACACAAACAAATCCCACCTTTCAATACCCCTACATCATATGCATCCCGAAAGGTAAATCACATAAATCGCCAATTAACAAGAATGGATTCACGTTCAAATATACATTCATAATGTACAATTAAACAAGAAGCCCCATAAATGAGTTGCACTGGGTAGAAAGTAGAAACCATTTTTACAACAATAACCACATATACGACTATCAGATACCAATCTAACAACAGATTTTCAAAAAACCATCTTCTGTACCAACAAGAAACAGTCGTGAGAAAGGCAAAATAGTTATGCTCGATAACACAGACAAGTTCCTTGATTCATGATCAGCCATGTAGAGATGCTGGGGTGTGACGCAATGCTTCCCATCCTGCCACATTACATCAATGCATCTAAATACACAAGAACGATAGCAAATAAAAATGAACAGTGATTTCAAAACTAACAGCTAGCCTGTGGCTTTATGCTCCTTTACCTCACATAATCACTCCCTCTTTCCCATGAATAACAAAACCACTCTATCACACTTTGAAAGCCTTACCTTCCCTTACTTATATAAAAGGGTGGGGTTGAGATAATAATAGGTGAAGGTTTATGGATAGTGATGCTGGCCGGTACGTGGTTCTGAGGGTTCTATGGAGGCGTGGTAATGGGAATAGGTGTTGGGATAGGTTCAAGAGGGATGGTAATGAAAGCTGGCTCATGCTTACTTCTATAGGGTCTGTCTTTCATTGAATTGAATTTCAGCGAGGGTTGTAGGATAAGGGAGGCTGACAACTATGGATGGCTAGGTCAGGATAGTCGCCATCAGGAATGCTACATGTGGGGCCTTACCAATGAATGGTTGTTGAAACCTAGCCTTATATAGGAGTGGTGGACCTACAGGGCTCTAGTTACGTAGGGGCAAGCATTTGTTTGTGTTTGTCCAAAACATAGAGCATTTGGAGGTTGCGTCACAGATCTTGTGACACGAATTGTGTGAAAATATCATCTAATTTCTTCTTTGCAAAGATTGATATTAGCATTTCAGGAAGTTGCAAGTTATATGCCAAAACAAAAACATTTGATTTCTCGTATTAATGTGTAGAACCCATGAAAACTAGAATAAAAACTTCAAATATAACTCCAGAATCATCGTCATCTCAACATTTTTGCAACTAGATCGAGAGAAAATATATTCAGGAATATGCCACTGTGTGGGTGATTAATTTGATAAGAATAATATTTTTCGTCTTGAAAAGGTGCAATTGTATGTATACATTATAGGGTGTCACTTGTATGTTTGACTGGTAACTATTTTTGTAGCCAAATTCCACTAAGGGTTAGTGTTCCTCCCAACTACCCTTGTGGTCAAGGACACATGCTCAAAACATGTCCTCTAAAAGTTGTACTCATTGACTTGATCTTAATCATTCACCCAAGTATAAAATGGCCAAGTTATAATATTACTCGGTTAAGTTTGAGATCGAATCCACAAGGAGTTATCTATTGGAAGTTTAAAAAAGAAAAGGTGCAATTGCCATGCAAATAATGTGTATTATAACAGCTTATGGTGTAAGCTTAGAACTAATAAATTAAAATTTTAAACTGAACTTTGATTATAATGATTGAAAAAGGCTACTCTTTAGCTCGAGGATCCAACATACATTCTATTGCTTGACTATGAAAATGTCACATCATAGCAATTAACTCCTGTGTTGACATAAATTTAACTGGTAGGTTTGATGTATAAGTCGAACCATGTCACAACAAATATTAAGTTAGCCAGAAGGTATATGCACCGTACAACAATCAAATAACCCTAGTAAACCTAAATGTGAACCACTCAAAAGGTTTACTACAGCTATTTGATTGAAAGGTCTATAATTCAATAAAGACAGAGTTTTGGGTTATGAATTAAATCAAAAGCATTGGCTATAGCAAGATTTAACTCATCTACCATTAACCTCCCAACTATTACATAAATCCCAACAACGTGCATCATTGTATCATGTAAAAAGTACATAATAAAATATAGAAGAAATGGTATATAGTAATAAGTTTAGCTCGGTACTTGTAACCATGAGTACATAGTAATACGATACCAAATAGAAATGAAAATCACTAATAATTTAAGGGAGGTATAAACATTAAAACATAGGTAAAACATCGACATTTTCATAACACAACAAATATTATACATGTCTTCACCCTTTACTAAAGAGTATAAACGGACTACTCACACTTCATTGCTATAGACGAGCAAGAAGGGCGAGACAATCCCATTACAATTCAACATAAATGAAAAATAAACACAAAGAATCATTCCCCAAGGAATAGTTGAAACACCCTCACTCTTATTATCGACTAGGAAGCAAAAGTGAGAGAAGTTCAACCCTCCAAATAAAAGGGATGCAAAAGAAATGTAGAAGAAGTTAATTTTTTGGCTAGGAGTGTTTAGAGTAGGTATTTCTTCTCTCCACTCGGGGGTTGTCAAAGGTGGAATACTTTCTTGCAAAATGACCTAAACATGCCAATTTATAGGCTCCAATTGAGAGTTTAAAGCGGTAGACACCTAAGGCAGCCAATCAGTGCTTTTGTTGCATCAATGGACTAATGGGAGAAGAGAAGGAGGTGAGACAGTTAAGGCCACATTCAGATGCCACCACCATCGTCCGAACAATGCTAAGTCTCTGAATTTTTTCCTTGTAGCCTCCTTTGTTGATTTTTTGACTCTGGCCACCGTTGGGATGGTGCTCCTAGCATCCGGATGGTGAGCTTCTTACTGAAATTATTCTTGCCTCCCTCCTTTCGCTCATCTTTCATGCTTTAATCCTCCAAGTTCCCTTA